GTTAAATCTTTTTAAGAAAACTGTTATCTGTGAATCATCTGCTCTAAGTGATTAAAACATATTTTAAAATTATTTACGTAATTATTTTTGAAACAATTCATCAGAAATTTGTGTCCAATTGGAAGTCTATAAAATACTTTTAACAGCTCCAGTTGTATCAGAAGTCTCACAATTAAAAATTATAATAAATTAATTATGATGTATTTCCCAAGAATGATTAATGCTTCATCTTTGATCACATTAACTGAAAATTAGCTAAAAGTATACATTTTGATGATCAATAAATAAAGAAGTTGCAGAAAGGTGAGTCAGAAAAATCGTATGATCAGTCAAGATACCTCAGTAAGTATCATTTTTATTCTATTTTATAAAATTAAAACATTCTTATAATCTATGAGTCTATATTTTTCATCATCCTTATTATATTTTATAACTGGTAAAGATATTTTTAAAAAGAAAGTGCTTTGTATTGTAATACCTTTAATGATACTTTTTTCCTACTCTTCAAATAAGGAGTCTCACATTTTTTCCTACTGGGTCCTGTAACTTGCCCCTGATAATAAGATTCAACAATAAAGTTCTTCTCCAGTTATTTTCTTCCTGATTACTATTTTTAAAGTTAATAATTTTCAGATGACAAAAGTTGAGTATACTTAATGTTTCATAACATACACATTGTATATACATTAGCTAATTCAAGCCAATTAACATATGTGTCATCTAACATTCTTCCGTTGTGGTAAGAACAATTAATTTATTGCCTTGGAAATTTTCAAGAGTACAATAGATTGTTATTAGAGTCATTGCTATTGTGTGCTTATTTTGTTTAACATAATGTCTACTAGGCTCATCTGTGTTGTTTTAAATGACGGGATTTTTCCTTCATAAAGCTGAATATTATGCCACTGTGCGTATATACAGTATTTTCTTTATTCACCCCACTGTGGGATGGTTGCTTAGGCTGATTCCAAAGCAAGTCCCTTGTGGATAATGTTGCCATGAATGTGGGAATATAGATATCTCTTCAATATACTGATTTCTTTTCTTTTGATAGGCACTCAGAACTGGGATTGCTGATCATATGGTCGTTCCACTTTTAGTTTTCATAAAAAATGTTCCCACCATGACTGTACTAACCTTCCCTCCCACCAACAGTGTTCCAGGGTTCCACTTTCTGCACATCTCCACCAACACTTCCTATCTTTTTGATAATCGCCATGCCAATAGTTGTGAAGCGGAATCCTTATTCTTTACAACTGACAGATGGTTTGGCCCAATAGGAACAGGCATATTTTATGTTTAAGAATATTTGTTTGTCACTCAGTGTGTATGTTTGGTCTCGCCACGAGCCCGTAGTAGCAGGGCCCCACCTTCAGCCCTCTGTCTCTCCGTACCTGCGTGCTTTGAGATGGAGAGGTCGTCTATAGCAAGGCAGTGAGTTTCGTTCCACATGTGGGGCCGGGGGTGAGACAGAGCTTCACTAGGGATGGGTTTGTACAGCCTCTTTTCAATTTGAGGCTTCCCTGTGGATTTACCAGTTGCAAATTAGTCCATTTATTTGCTTGGCTCCATCCCAAGAGCCTCCTGGTCAACCGCAGATAACAATGACAAGAGGCTCAGGTGCTTTGGTGGCTTCCAGTTTGAAGCCTGGAGGATTTATGTGTGGACAGTTGTGTGTAACACCTTCTGTGTGTGTGGGAGATCAGCACACCAAAAAGAATAAGGACTAGAACTAGAAGAATAATGAAGAAAAATGACAGGTGCCGGGAAGGGAACCAACAGGCTATACCTCTGGTAAGTAACTCCCAGGAGGACTCTTAGAAAAGACTTACTGATTAATTGAATCAATCCATCATCTCTGGGTGACAGCATCAACTTGCAATCTTTTTTGGGAATTGTTTTATTCCTTCTCTGTTACAGCTGAGATTCATAGGAGGGTGGAATGAGCAGGTAACAAATATACCTGTCTTGTTATTAAAGTGCCACATTATTAAAGTAATTTCATAATAGAAGTTTACATTAATTTTAATAATTATAAAGACTGTGTAAGAGCATCAACATGTGGATTGTAAAAGAATTTTTCCTCCCTAAATTGATCTTGTAATTATCACCTTTCATTACCTGTCAAAAATTTAAGCTTATTTCTCCTAAACACCAGAATGTTTAAAAATTTTTTGAGAATGACCTATACTACTGTTCTAGAGAATATAGAAGTACCTGACTTTATCTGTTTTAGGAGGACCTCTCACCTTTGTTTTCTCTCGGTTGTCATTAACAATCATTATTCATAACAGCGATGCAAATTTCACTAGTACTCTAAATGTGACCCAAGCATTACCTAGTTCAAATGTTTGTGGAACTAAATGGCATAGACTAAGAACATCAACATTTGTTTCAGAGATTTTCTCCTTATACCTATGGAAAGTGATTATCTCAATGTACTATTGGACACAATATGTTGGTCATGGATTTTGCTCCTTTTTGGAGAGTGGGAGGAAGGTAGGTATAATAAAATAAAATGGGCATTAGACGTGGATCCTAAGCAAGGAATGACATATGATGACAATAACTGAGGATTTTTTTTACAATGTAAAATGTTGATAGCAAAAGTCCCTGAGTATAGGTATCGAGTGCTGAAATTTATTGAAGACCAGTCAATGTCTGAAGGAAGATTTTTGGGATGAATATAGGAAGAACTCAAGATTTACTGCTTAAGAAATCCTAATCTCTCAGATAACTAAGTGATGGAAAATCTAATGGAAATGAACATAATTGGCTAATACACAAGAACACATCACATAGGTTTGTTTACATGTGGGCATAGATAATTTGTTTTTAAAGGAAGTATTTTAACATGGAAATTATGCTGAGTCTAAAACAAATAACCCATAGACATTTTATGGTTTATACTGTTGTAGGGTCTTTATTTATCACCGTTCACTTAGATTTAGAAAGTCCAGGGTCACTTGATAGACCCTGCAATTTGATTTATTCTATTCTGACCAGACAGCATACAAGAATCTGCTGTGGAATGAAGCTATATTTGCATTTTCAGGGTATTCGGTTACCTTGTGTGATTTCTTGACCTTTCTGGGCCTTAGTTTACTGTCTCTATTGTGACTGGATTTGCATCTGAGAGGTTTGTCCTGAATGTGACCCATTTAAAATGAGTTTGTGTTTCTGAATTAAAGTGATCCACTCATCATAGCACAGTTGAATGTTAGATATTTGCTTCATGGTATTAGAAGTTATGTTTTCTAATACCCACCAAATGAAGAGCATAGTTTCTCCTATTATTTACCAAGCTCACAAACTATACAACTGAGACACAGTTTCTTTAGGAAATATATATCTATGTATTTACCTATTAGTGTTGTCCCTTTTTATGCAACTGGGATGCTGTGTGCCTTTGACTTCGCAGGTGAAACAGTCCCCTGACTGCTCCCCACAGGCTTTGGCTCACATCCCCCCAGCACACCTTCCACATGGGGAACAGAAATACAAGCAGCCTCCAGTGTTTCCAAGGCTCTCACCATGTGGCTGAGAAATCGAGCACTGTGAATTCACCATCAGCTTCTTGGTGTTCTGCCTTCTGGGTTTGAGTTAGGCTCACTGCCTTGACTCCTGGGGCTGGGGGTGTCGCTGTGCAGTGGGGAGTCACTCACCCAGCAGCCCGGCCTGGAGCGGCCCCGGCAGCTGTCTCCATCCTGGGCGCCTCGCTGAACCTCAGCTGAAACGCAGGCTTTGTCTTTTCCCTTTGCCTCCCCTGCCTTGAGATGCTTCATTGTAGTCCTCTGCTAAGGTGAAATCTATATTCTAACGGCAATGACAGCACTAGAGTGGATCACCCAAGTGGCCATCAGTGAGTATTTTAAGTTATTTTATTGCAAAGGAAATATTTTTTATTAAAAAAATGAAAACTCCTTAGAATTTAACCAAAGGTTTTGAGTATACTTTCCTGACACCCTCATCAGCTCTTAGCTTGATGCTGACTCTCAGTGCTAGAAGGAAGTGGAAAAGCTCGAGCAAGCCTGGGCCGGCATCTGCTGGAGGAGCCTTGTGTAGGAGATGATGCCAAGTGTGTGCCCTGTGACTGCTGGGTGCGCAGTGCCCAGACTCCTGGGCAGTTTCTTTTCGACCAGATACGCTGGGAAGCCGCAGGGGCTTTCAGGGATGGCTCGTCAACGAAGTTGTTTTTCCATTTATTTTTAAAATGCAAATTACACTAGTAAGTCAAAAAAATCACTCTGTTAAAAATACATTCAGAATTAACAAATGCAAAAAAAAAAAAGAGACACATCAAGATTGTAACTCTTGCCTTCTGAATATTAGGTTTATAACAAAAGCTCAGCCTAGAAAAATAGCATTCTTCACCAGATTTTGAGGAGGATACAGCTGTACAACTTAGATGTTTTCCCGGATGGAATCACACTACTGTGCTTAGTGCTCCTACAAAAGGCCTGTCCATTGATTACTTTTTAGTAGTCAACAACTGTTTTTGAAAATTTTGGTGGTGATGAAATTGGTGATTTGGTGGTGTTGTCTGCAACTGAAAGCAGGAGGATGAGGGCTATTTCTGTACCCATATACATGTACTGCAAGGTGGCGTCTCGTTACATGTATGCACAGTGAAACCTCATGTTAAGAGTCACATTAATAGTCACATTAGGATAGTTTCTGGCCTGTATAGTATTTATATCTTAGGAATCAAAGGAAAATACATTGGTAAATATTTTTTCATCCATTAAACATGCATGTCACTATAAAAGCATCAAATGAGGTTTCACTGACATATTGCGGCTGTGAATTTTATACATGTAAGTATGGACAAACATATACAAGCCACTGAGAAAATTCAAGCGTGAATGCTAGAATCTTTGTTCTCTTGTGGTTTATGTTTCAGCAGTAACTTTTGTTCCTTTACCATTTCCAAATGTATATGTGCGTCTATATTATAAACATCCATGCAAACACAGATATGGGACTGTTATATGGAGCTCAGAATGGGCTGAAGTCCAAAGGAGGTTAACCCAACAACTGAAACTTCACAGAAACCAAAGAAAAAAGTTGCTCCAAGCCAATGTATAACTATCCCAGTCTGAATTTCACCGCACTTAAATATGGTGTGAAGTTGGTCAGAACACAAATGGATTTTAGTGGTCTCCAAGAAAAAATAAGACGTATCTGAGCTACTGATAAGCCTTAGCTAATTATGTTTCTCACTAATGAAAACCAAATAATGCTTGAAATTATAGAGCAAAATTTCCTAGGAGTTCAGAATATCCCATAAATACATTGACCTACTATTAAGTTTCCAAAGGCATCTTGTTGCCAACTACGTTAACAGCACAGGGTTTTCTTTTTTTTTCTGCCACAATAATACAGGAGAATTGAAACACACTCTAACACACTGGATCCCCCAGTACCACACAGAAATCGCAAATGTTTCACTGTGGTTCCCACCCACCCCCCCAAAAAATAATCTCGTACACCAAAGTTAGAAAAGAAAGGTCACCTACATCGGGTCTTCGGTTTGAATTAGATATAAAAGAGTAAACATAGCTAATACATAGTTAGTTGGCCTCTGCTGCTAGAAATCCACAGCTGATTTCTGTTAGTAAAAGACATCCGTAGATACTTAGAAAAGCACCTAGAGTGCAATAAATAAAGTGAGTTAAACTGTTTCTGCTTCCAGGAGATTAGTGAGTTTGGTGGATGACTAAATTTTACTTTGTCCCGCCCCAGCCCCACGGGAAGACCGCCTCTGAGCGTATCAAAGCGACCACTGTTGATGGTTGTTCTGGAACTCTTGTCTCCTCTGGCTGGCAGCGTCCTCAGGCAGACACTGGGGGCGCTGCCCGGGCAGGCCCCGGGCTTGCAGAGCGGGTGCCAGCCTCGGAGTGGGGTCTGCACTGGCGCGGGTGGGCTAAGGCGAGCGTGGGCGGTCCAGCCTGGAGGGCTGACAACCTGCCTTCTGGGCCGTGCAAGGTCCTGATGTTTGTTTTTGAATTACACTGCCCGAGCAGCCGTGGTGCTAGTGAGATGTGTGGAGCGCAGACACCGGGCTCGATCCCCACCCGGCGGCTCCCAGCCCACCGAGGCCGCGGCTGTGGGCAGTGAGTGGGCAGCTCTGTGGCCTCAGGGGCCGGGACAGAGGAGCCGCTTGGGAAACCCAGGGAGGGCGTGACCTGCATACCTGCCTGGAGAGGGTGGGAGTGGGGTGTGTGTGTGTTGTCCATATGGATCTGTGTTAAACTTTACTCGCTTGTTGCTCTCTGTGAAGTACAGGAGGCCGCTGTGGAACAAATTCTTTGAGAGGTCCATGGGCTGACACTGCTGTCCGGTTTTATTTTGACCTAAGAGAGAGAAGAGATGGTTTTAATCCAGGGGGAGAGCCCTGGGTGCCTGTTGCTTTTCACCTTTTCCCACCTCTCTTTAAGCACAAGAGCAAACAAAAAAGCAAAAAGAGGAAAGAGAAACTCAAGCTGGGTTTGAAATAGATGAGTTTCCATTCCTTCCACATACGGTCATTTCAGATCTATTTCTGTGGATGAGTGAAATGAATATGTATTGCTGCACCATTAGGCTGCCCAAAAACTTGCAATGTTTTCACCAGTGCTCTAGTACATCACAGGACGTTTTCACCAGTGGGGGCATGAGCAGATTTATACTTGCTATGGTGCAGAAATTAGTGGTCCTCAAGCCAGTGCTTTGTTAGGAAATTAACCTGTGGACGTTGGAATTTTCTGGGCTGTAACTTCAACTTCTTAGATATCCACTTGTTTCCAGGAGATTTACCAAAATGTGAGGGGAAAAAACCCCCGATTTAAACCTTGCTTTTTCTAGGTGGATTATAGATAATTTGAAAAACCACACACCAAGAACATTCACCAAACTTAGTTGAAAATAAAGAGGACCCATATTGGCTGGTGACAAGCCGATGAGGGTGAGTGGGTGTCCGAGGCGGGAGTTTCACAGTTCTGGCCTATCTGCTGGCTACAGGAGCTTGCTAGGTAGAGGGGAAATCTCACAGCTAGAACCGCACATTGCCTTCAGTGTTTGCTTTCTCTCAAAAGAACAGCTTTTATTTCCAACTGCTATATAATATTTATGGGTTCTTGAACCGGCCCATGATGTTAAATTACTCTTACTTTACAAGACATATTTATAGCAAGTTGACGGGAGAGGGGACATTTCAAGTGACAAAGACAGAGAGACGCTCAGGGCACTGGCTCTCCGCAGGGAATGAGGGGTAGAGGTGACTCCATTCTGACTTTTCACAGGGTTTGAATAGGCAGTGGCTCTCAGAGGACGGTTTTGAGGGACACAGAGTTGAAGAGTCCCTTCATTCCGCACTCCGTGGTGTGCAGTCCAAAGGGACCAAGCAGATGTGCAGACGGGGGCTGCCGCCACAGGAGACTGGGAGATGAATCAGTGTAAGGTGCACCAGAAGTGAAATAAAACCAGAGACTGCAGTGCCAGGTTGAACTCACAGCCCACCTAAGCATTGCGAAAGAACACTGAACTAAGCGCTCAGGAAAGCTGGCTGGTAACCTTGTCTGGTCACTGACTAGTTGTTGGACTTTTGCTTTCCTTTCTCTTGACTCAATTCTTGTTTTGTAAAATAGCATTTAAGTGTTCAGGATCTGAGGAATCCTGCCGGATGTTTGGTGGAAGGGATGTTAGAATTTTGACGAGTAACATTTTTTGATGTAGATTATTCCTAACTTCCAAGATTTGAGTTCTATTATTGAACTTATTTTATGAGCAATGAAACTTGAGAGCTCTCATATAATATTACCATTTTCAGTCATTGCAGAGCAAGAAATATTTTTATTACTTTTATTTGGCATTTAAAGTATTTTATTTTACAAAATCACAAGGAGTTTTGTGCTCAAGGAATTTAATTCTTGATAAAGATACATATTTTTAAGGAGTCCTTTTTTAAAGACCAACATTAGAATTATAAATACCTGATTTGAAACAACAGACTTGATTATGTATGATTAGCATCCTCATATTATTATCACAGCTGATCACTGGATGAATGGTTACATCTAATTTACTGTGTCTTGATCATATTTATTGACCAATATAATGTTGTATGACATTGTCAGAAGGAAGTCATTGCAAACCTTGGAGATATTTTCATATACTCTTGAGCTCACATTGTTACTTGAGCATACACGTTACATGACTTTTTCTGCTCATAGGGGAGATTTTTTGGAATGATATATAGTTTTTGCTGATTTCTGACTTGATAGGCTTTTCATAAATAACATTGATTAACATAAGCATTATTGCTACTACTAATAAATTATGTTTATTAATCATGACATGTCCTGTGTTTTACGTACTTCACATGCATTACGTCAGAACAATTCAATGAAGTATGTATATTATCATTTCTATTTTGCAGGTGAGTGAGACTTGGCAAAATTAAAGATATTCAAAGTTATATGCCTGAGGTCATAAATAGTTCAGTCTCAGGTAGTTTGTCTTCAATAGGTCATTTCAGTATTACTGATTGCTTTGCTGTTTTAGAACAGTTTATAGAATAAAATGTTGAGAGGAATGGCAAAGAATTTATAGGAAATTTCACTTTACTTTTTGTTGTAGCTATCAAATCTTTCTGAGAGGTTAGGAAAGTTATGGTAAATGTAGCAAACAATTATAGTTTATGGTAAAAGAAAAAAGAATCATTAGAGGACGAAGACACTAATGAGTGCTTCATACAGGAATTATATTTTAAGGTAAAACACGAAGGATAATGGGGTTTAAAAGAGTAGAATTTGGGAAAAAAATATAAGGTCAATTATCAAGATCACAACATGGAGAACTGGAAAAACTTGTGACATATTTGGAGAAGGCAAGCCTTCTAGTGCAGCTGGAAAAAAAACATCACTAAGGGAAGACACCAGACTGCTCATACCCTCAACAGATTAGAAGCTTTAGGAGGACAGGGTGAGTTCCTATGCAGCATTACAGTTTCCAGGAGACTGCCCACATCATCTGGATATGGTTGGGACTCAAAAGTTACTAAAGATTGAAGAGAAGAGATCATATTTCAACAGAACTTTGGGGGCAGATCAAGGTAAACTTTCAGGCTATAATGAGTTTTGGCTTTGCTTAGCATGTAATAGGGAGTCATTGTTTTGGGGCAGGGAACTGAATAAGGCTAATATTTTAGTAATATTTTAGGAAGATTAATTTGGCGGCCATGTGAAAGATGGGACAGAAGTTCTGAAATAAGAAACAGGAAAACTTGAATGAACAGGTCATGGATGCTTGAACTAGGGCAGTGATTGTGGGACTTAAAAAAAGGTTGCATGACGTCAGAGGCACTGACTTGAATGACACATGCATCTGCTTGGTTTCTGAGCTGATAAAGTCTTTGCTGTGAGTGGTTTTAGCAAATAGGTGCAGAGGACTATAAGGGACACAAGGAAAAAGGCAGGCACGATGCGAAAGGATTCTCTTTTCAAGGAGAAGCTTAGAGGGATTGTCCCAAGATTAATCTCTTTGGAGGAGAAATAATCCCCAAATCCGTTTATTATTCTACATGCTAAAGATATTAAAAAAAGATGACTTCATGGCAGAGGACAACAACAACAAACACATATCTTCAAAGAGAGAAGTTCACATTTTAAAATGAATTGGAATCTTACTTTCTATTTTGATCTTCACTTGCAATTCAGCATATCACTTGATGCTGATATATAGAATTTGTTATCAGTTGTTATCCAAGGGAATTTGCCTAAACACAGATATAAAAATCAGGCTCGGATGTATGTCTGCTCTCTTGAGTGCTAGAGTTAAGGGATTGACAAGCTTTAGTGTTAATGTTCCAGTTATTTTCACTCTTACATTAGAAAAAATGATAAAGAGCATTGCTGATTTTGCTTTTTGAACACTACATATAACTAAGACGAACTGTCATTTATCATCTAAATGAGAATTCTTTTGAGAGTAATATGAAGTGTTGATACGAATCATACCAAGGCAACCATTGTAAATTGGGACTACCCTGGGAAACCCAGATGATCTGGCTTATATATTGTTACATATAACTACCTGCAATGTTATTATCATTTTCAAAACATGCAACTTTTGGGGGATTTAAAGAACTGGTATATAATAGGCTTTTGAGCCATGTAGGTGAAACTTTTATAAGCTTAAAGGTAACTTAGAAGATGGCATTTCTGATAAAGCAAATTAAAAGGAAAAAAATGAAGAAAATGTTATTAGAATTATCCCACTGAGGACAATATTAATGGTAGGGAAAATACTGGAAATATGTTGCCAAAGGAGAGCGTCTTGCCACCTATTTTGTGCCATGATACATTCATTTGATCACCTTTTAGTGCCCCTGAAGATCTTGCCACGGCTTGGTACTTACATGTACATTGGCTGTAGCTGTAAGTGTGATGTCTTCTGAGGCCCTTGATAGCCGTAAGAGTCAAAGCCACCTATGAAATCAACTGAAATGGACAATTGCCTTCATTAGTTACTTGTTAGAAGAGATTTCCATTCATGAACAAGGTCCGCGTTGATTACTAATACGTAAGAACCTTTTAATATTTGACTAAATTAAAAGTGACTAAGAAGAAAACAATTTAAAAATACAGTTTCTTTAAGGTAGAACTTCTTTACCTCATACTGTAAGACTCAGTCATTGCTTTACAAGACCCTATTCACTCGGAGAAGAAATTATGGAATCTTTTCAAGCAACCAAGCCCTAGTTGGCGTCACAAAACTTACTTGCATATTAAAGATGCTGTATGACTTTCTGGCTAATGTGAAGAGTTTTTGTAACACATTACAGATATTGTAGCATAAAATAATAATTACTAAGTGCACATATCTATCAGCAACTGCAGCACTAGTGATAATATTACGTATTCTGATTGTCAAGGTCAAGAAACTGTGGTACACCTCACATAAATTTATTCAACCTAGTTGCTTCTTTACAATCAGAAGCAGACAGTTAGAGGGACGGGTGTGGAGTGAGGTCTCACCAAATATTCAAATGCAAGAGCTATCGTGGTAGATGGTATTTTCCAAAATAGCGGCGATCATACTTCCTGTTGCACATGTTCTCACAGCCTGTCTGTGGCGCTCCTCTAGCCAGCAGTTTGAGCTTCCATCCTTCCCTACTCAACGTGAGTAAACCACTGTGGCACATTTGAGTGTGGAAGAAATGACACTAGTAACTTCCTGGGCTAGCTCATGAAAGTGCCACATGCTCTTCCTCCCTCTTGGGATGCTGTCTCTTGAAACAGAGCCACCATGCCCAAATTAGCTTATGTGGAGACATGAGTGGGGACACATGGACAGGTGTTTCAGGTGACAGGATAGCTGAGATACCAGTCCACAGACAGAATCCACATCCAGACCTGTGAGAGAAAATGCCACTAAATTATTCTGGATCCTAGCTGTCGAATGAACTCTATCTTCTCGTCTTCCCAGTTCAGGTCCCTGGCATAAGGGAACAGAGACAAGCCGTCCTCACTGTGCCCCCAGCAGCTGTGAGCATAACATATGGCTGCTGTGTATCACCAGGTTTGGGCAGAAATGATAATTGAGATAGTAAATACTAATAATGCTCCAAGAAAGAACTTCCTTCTTTTCATTTCTGGATATAGAGGTTTGCATGGTGGGGATAAAAGGCAAAACAACAAAAGGCCAAGAGAACAGATTACAGATAAGACAAAGACAGTAGAGACTGAATGAGGACACACTCGGATGTCTTTCCATTTTCTAGAACTCTGCTCAGTTGGTTTACTTGGGCCATGTATGTTCTGTTGTGAATGTCCTAGGGTGCTTCAGGTGGCAATTGGAGTAGTGTGCAGTAACTCAAATCTGTGATGTCCAAGTAGTGCGAAAGCACCTCTGATATTTAAAAAATTTGATTTTTGGAGCAATTTTAGGTTCACAGCAAAATTTAGTAAAAGTTACAAAAGAAATTCTAACATATGTTTTGGCCTATATGCGAACAGCAACTTCCACCATCAGCATCCCCGTCGGAGTTGTATATGGGCTACAACTGAGGAGCTTACTTCCCCGTCATCCTCAACCAAAGCCCACTGTTTACATTAGGGTTCCCTCTGGGTGCCGTAGGTCCTAATGATCCTGACAAATGAATGACGCATCCATCATTACAGCATCAAAACAGATGCACTGTCAAAGTCCGGTGTTCCATCTGAGCCTCCCTCTCCTCCTGCCTGGAAACCACTGATCTTTATTGGCTCCATAATTTTAACGTCTACAAAAACACCGTATAGTTGAAATCCTATGTTGGGTAGCCTTTTCTGAGGAGTGGTTTCCTTCACTTAGTAATATCCGTTTAATTCTTCTCTGTGTCTTTTAGTGACATGAGAGTAAGTTTCTTTTGAGCATGGGAAATGTGATTTTTTTGAGGCAGAATCTCTCTTCTCATCAATAGTAGAATGGTGTAATGAAACACAGCAGAGGCCCTGATGTTACAAGGACCAGAGAACTACAGAAAGTACTGTAGGGAGGAGGAATAAAAACAGAGAAAACTTTTTCGTTTTCTGAATTGCCCATATTTGTTTCTCAGTTGTTGTTTTGAGATGTTTCATCAGCTTATTTTCAGGGCTTTGGGGTGGGTGGCAGGAAAGGCCTGCTCATATTTATGATCCAAAACACTTAGACTGGACTAAGGGATGAACAACCTAAAGAAAACAAGATGAATCTTCAAGCCCAGAAGACAGATTTATAACTAAAAATGGAGGACTGGGATTTAGCTCAGTGGTGCCACCGCCTGCCTCGCAAGCTCAAGGACCCGAGTTCGATCCCTGGTACAAATAAATAAATAAATAAATAAGTAAATAAATAAATAAAGAGAAGCTTGAGTTGGGAGTAATGTAGAGCATCTGGAGGCACAGGAAAGGCCAGAGGGGATGAGCTGTGTCCTGAATGTGTGCCATGAGGCCAGCTCCAATGGCCTGGGGTCTGTTTTTACAGCTATGATGAGAAAATGGGCAGGACTGGGGAAGCTACAGCACAAATTCTCTGAAGGGGGGACTGAAGTTGTTCTGATTTTTCCACCCTCAGCTGGACCCTGGGGGATAGAAGAGGTTCCAACAGCAGGTGACTCATGACCAAGATGAGCAAGGAGTAGGCTGAGTGTAACCAGGATGGAGTTTTACCATTTCATTCATAGGGGATTTAAAAAATGTAAACCAGAAGCACAGAGGATATTTGCCATTTGAAACTCTCAGTCCAAAGTCTAGGAAACCGTGCAGGGTCAATTCACAATAGCGGTTAATCTCAGTGGTTGCTTCCATGTCTCTCTAGACGATCTGAGTGGGAGAACAGGAGCCACTGGTCCAGGGGACCACATGGCCAAGAGGAAGGTGGTTAACAGAGCTGCACTGAAGTCCTCTCATCTTCCACCGAGGGTCTTTCAACCCCCGGTGGAAATCTTCTGGATAGCGTGTGGGTGGAGCCCAGAGGCAGATAAAACTGATTTATTGCTCTCCAAAGTTGAATTACTGGGATTAGCTTACATTACAAAGAGATCTTTAATTCTCCTTGGATCTCTTTTCAACTTCTTTTATGTAATTATACTTATTCTGGCTCTGTAGAGGCCACTGCACTCTACAGAAATTTCCTGAGGAATGGGGGTCCTGAAACATCTAACAGAGCCTTTTCTAAGTATTTGTGAGGCTATCCAGGGGCTTGCTTTAGAGCTCACCTCTGTGTTTTCGAGAAAAAGAGGACCTTGTATCAGTGAAGAATCTTTTTAATTCCCCAAAATAAAAACAAATCCCTGATAATTGTAAAATGGTCAGTAGTTCCTAAGGTCCCTGCAAGAGACATAATTGATCTTTATAATATTACTATCCTGTGAGTAGGAATCATTATGTTCCCTTTACAAATAAATACAGTTTTATTGCTTGAGGCAGAAATCAGTTGAGGACAGGACTAGACGTCAGTTGTTTTATTTCCTTTCCTAGTCTGGAAAAGTGACACCTGCTATTCACTTATTGCATTCCAGTAAATTCCTAGAAGGACTTAAAAGATGGTCAAAGATATCAACTCCCATTTTGCATTAAATCTAGAAGTTTTAAGTTTTTGATTTTTCTATATTATTCATTAAACAAAGATTTTTGAGTACTGATTGTAGGCATCTCCTTTTAGTCTTTTTTCTTCAGCATCTTTACTTGCTTCTTTGTAGAAAAGTTGCTTTTTCGTAGTCTTACCATCTCCAGTGTAATATTCTGAGCATTTTTCTGGTGGGAACAGTGACAGGTGGGGAAGCCACCTGGGTTGTATTTAGCAGTGATAGCTACCAGTGAGGGCCCTGGGACCCCCCCAGTGCCACTCGGAGCTTAGTCCAGTTACTTTCATCAGACACCTGTGCAGGACACAGTAAGGATGGACATCTTTTCTTCTGAAAATCATTTCTATCATCAGCACTGCCTTGCACAACTCTGACTGCAATGAAGCTTTTCAAAGTGAAGATGGATGATTTCTTTACAGCATCTTGGAATATTGTCTTGGAATATTGAGTATTTCAATGCTTAACAAGAAATGTGAAAAACAAAGGAATTACTGAAGGCCTGGCTTAGAATTAGGAGAATGGGAGAGGAGAGCTGTCAACAAATGCAGGATAAACGAACAAGGAGGGAGAAAGCAGAACTCAGGAAGTGCTCGATCGTGGGCAAGGACAGGAGAAGGAAAGTGTCCAGGCTGCTTCTCAGCTGATGGCCAGGGCAGTGTTGCTGCTTTCAACAGCATCCGAACCAGTGACAGGGGACACTGGTTGTTGGCCTCCTTTTGGAAATGCAGAGCTTAAGTTATAAATGACACATCGGGGAGGGAAGTCCCGGAAAAGGGAAAAATAACTGTAATCGGTACAAGGCAAATGGGGGCCTGCTGGGGTCAGAGGCGGAACTCTGTTTCCTCATCCAGCTCTGCTTTGCTTCCTTACACCTGTTGTCCCTCGCACACTGCAGGTCTGCTTGTCTACTTGTCGATTGGCTCCAGCACCATGACATAAGCTGTGCGAGACTGTTTGGGCTGTGTACCCCCGTAGCTCCGGGAGCCAGGACAATACGTGGCTCACGGAGAACATTCAACTCACGTTGGCTGGACCGGCTCTGGGTATCCTTAGGCTGCAAAAGAAAAAGCCCTTTGATCATAGTGTGGAAGATGTTCAAAAAATTTCCAAGTGAAATTTGACTGTGTCCGTTTATCTTTTCTTCCATACGACTTGGGGATCATAAAGAGCAAATCTTTTACAGAAGATTTCGAGTGCTATTTGTTGCCTAGATGTGGGGAGATACACCAAAGAAATTCTGGACACCAATGGGAAGAAACCACCACTGCATCCTCTTTGGAGAGAAGAGAGGAAGGACGAGGTGAAGACAGCTCCCCGGAGCTGGAGAGGAGGATCGTTCACTGAGGAACGCTACCAAGTGTGACAGATGCGGGTGACCCGGAGGCGCCTAAG